CCAATCACAGCATCAGAACTCTAAGCATGTGAGAGAGAGTGGGAACCTCCCAGAACATTGTATTGTGCCACGCCCAACAGAAATAACCCAGGTGGGCGACTTTAAAATCAGGATCTCCTCAGTTGCTAATAGCAATTCCCACCTTGGAGTTTACAAAGACTTATGGGTGAAAAGCCACACTAAGTAATTTACTACACCGCAGTATGCAGCTATTAATCTGGCCAATGCCTTTTTCTCAATACCAGTTTCAAAGGATCATCAGAAGTGGTTTGCCTTCAACTGGCAAGGCCAACAATATACTTTCACAGTGCTTCCTCAGAGGTATATCAGCTCCCCAGCACTATGTCATAATTTAGTCTGAGGGATGGGAGCTCTGGTGGTGTAGTGCATAAGGCATTTGACTGCTAGCCAGAAGGCTAGCAGTTCAAACCCACCAGCCACTCCTCGGAAGGAAGATGAGACAATCTACTTCCGTAGCGATGCCGCCTCAGAAACCCAAGGAGAGGTCACTATGAGTCAGATCCAAAGATCCAACTCAATGTCAGTGAGTGAGTCAGTGAGGGATCTTGATCACCTTTCCCTTCTACAAGACATCACTCTGGTCCATTATATTGATGGCATTATGCTGATTAGACCTAGCAAGGAAGATATATTCATGGCTCCACACTGACTTGTGAGACATCTGCATGCTAGAGGGTGGGAAATTAACCCAACAAAAATTCGGGCACCTTCTACTTCAATGAAATTTCTAGGGGTCCAGTGGTGTGGATCATGTCAAGATATTTCTACTAAAATGAAGGATAAGTTATTGCATCTGGCCTCCCCCACAACTAAAAAGGAGGCACAATGTCTGGTTGGCCTCTTTGGATTTTGGAGGCAGCATATTCTTCATTTGAGTGTGTTGCTTTGGCCTATATATCAAGTGACTTGAAAAGCTACTAGTTTTTGAGTGGGGCCCAGAACAACAGAAAGCTCTGCAACAGGTTCAGGCTGCCACACAAGCTGCTCTGCCGCTTGGGCCATACCCAGCTGATCCAGTGGCACTTGAAGTGTCTGTGGCAGATAGAGATGCTGTTTGGAGTTTTTGGCAGGCCCCTATTGGTGAATTGTAGCACAGACCCTTAGGATTTTGGAGCAGAGCCCTGCCATCCTCTGCAGATAACTACTCTCCTTTTGAGAAATAGCTTTTGGCTTGTTACTGGGCTTTAGTAGAAACTAAACATCTAACCATGAGCCACGAAGTCACCATGAAACCTGAGCTACCCTTCATGAACTGGGTGTTGTCTGACCCACAGAGTCATAAAGTTGGACGTGCACAGCAGCACTCCATCGTTAAATGGAAGTGGTATATAAGAGATCAGGCTCAAGCAGGACCTGAAGGCACAAGTTGTGTGAGGAAGTGGCCTATGGTCTCCACTTCAGTCACATTACCTTTCAGCTCCCAGTCTGCTCCTATGGCCTCATGCAGAGTTCCTTATGATCAGTTGACTGAGGAAGAGAAAATTCATGCCTGGTTTACAGATAGTTCTGTGCGATATGCAGGCACCAATCATGAGTGGACAGCAGCAGCACTGCTGTCCCTTTCTGGGACTTCTCTGAAGGGCAGTGGTGAAGGGAAATCCTCCTAATAGGCAGAACTTCAAGCCATGCATCTGGCTGTTCACTTTGCATGGAATAAGAAATGGCCAGATGTATGATTGTATACTGATTCATGGACAGTGGCCAATGGCTTGGCTGGATGGTCTGGAACTTGGAAGGAGCACGTTTGGAAAATTAGTGACAAGGAGATACGGGGAAGAAGTATGTGGATAGATCTCTCTGAATGGACCAAAGGAGTAAAGGTATTTGTGTCTCATGTGAATGCCCACCAAAAGGTGACCTCGGCAGAGACGGACATTAACAATCAGGTGAATAGGATGACATGTTCTGTGGAAACCAGTCATCCTTTTCCCCCAGCTACTCCTGTCATTGCCCAATGGGCTCATGAACAAAGTGCCATAGTGGCAGGGATGGAGGTTATGCTTGGGCTCAGCAACATGGACTTCCCCTTACCAAGGCTGATTTGGCTACTGCCACTGCTGAGTGCCCAGTCTGCCAGCCGCAGAGACCAACACTGTGTCCGTGATACGGAACCATTCCTCGAGGTGATCAGCCAGTAACCTGGTGGCAAGTTGATTACATTGGACCACTGCCATTATGGAAAGGAC